TTTAATTTAATTTTTTCTTTTAAAATTCCTTAAATTACATGAATCATGAAGAAAACAAGTTTTTTTTAATTTGTCAACGTAAATTTGTTTAGGCAAAAAAACTCATATATATACGGCCGCGCTGAAAAAACCACTATGTAATTTCAATATCCCGCCATTACGCAAGCTTACTGTGCGTAATTTTGTGATTTTGTGTTTGTCTTCTTATTTTAAGATTTTTTTTGCAGAAGAGGGCCATTAGAGCTATTTACAATCTTAAACCGAGAGAGTCTTTTAGAGAAAAATTTAAAGATATAAATATATTGACTTTGGCCTCTCAGTATATCTATGAAAATTTGATGTATGTTCACAAGAATAAAGGTAGTTTTAGTAAAAAAAGTGACATACACTCTGTTAACACTAGGAACTAGCACAAGCTGGCGCTACCAGTTTCTCGACTCCACATATTCAGTAATTCATTCTTGGGGCGATTTATACGCTATTACAACAAAGTCCCATAAAATATACAAGGTCTCTCTATTACCAAGTTTAAATATTTAATTAAACAAAAACTGTATAAAAAGGGTTATTATTTATATATTAGTGTTTATGGTCCGATCTATGCAAAATGAACTGACTATGTCTTGAGGTCTTGCAGTGGTATGCTTAGGTTTAGTTTTAATGTTATCGATTATAGGGTCCCAAGCAGGTGGTAGTACCCAGCCTCCTTCTCTATTGAAATTAGGATGTTTTTTAATTTCAATAGCCTCACATATCATCTTTGGTAGGAACCGGTGTTCTTTCACGAGGATTTGTGGTCTATCAAATCTGACGTAATGGTTGGGGCCGTCTAGGATATTATGATCACAAACTGCAGACTTCCCGGAACGTTGAACGAACGGGAACACCGGTTCCTACCAAGGATGATACGTAAGGCTATTAAAAAAAATTCTAATTTCAATAGAGAAGGAGGCTAGGTACTACCACCTGCTTGGGACCCTATAATCGATAAAATTAAAACTAAACCCAAGCATACCACTGCAAGACCTCAGGACATAGTTCATTTTGCATAGATCGGACCATAAACAGTAATAAAAAAGCTGAGGGTACTCCGGATTTAACAAAGACATCGGGACGTCAGTCACCTCAGTCCCCCGTGACCATGGGTGCTGGAAGCACCCGAAACGTCGGGAACCATAGAGTAGAGTAATATATACAGAAATAGAGAGCCATCTCCTAGGATTTTTTGTCACCCAATATGAATAGTGTCGCCGCCTGGTATCATATCCCTTGAACTAATCTCAATATCATGTTGACTATAGATAGCTGTATGTAGTTATGTATATACAGCTATCTATACTATAGGCGGTTATATTTATATTTTAAGGGATTAGGGTTCAATTAAAGACGTATTATAGATTTCAGTAATATTAACATTTATTTTTGTTATATATATTTAACATACACGATGTAAAAGCGTCTATTCCGCAAAATACAACACCAAACTAAATTAAATATGTCCACCGGGTTACCGGAATGATAAATGAAAGCGTCTATTTCGCACAACACTACACAAACATACAATGTAATTCCAGCATGAAAATCTAAACAGATAACAAAGAAACAGAGGGCTAATCCCAACTCAACCAAACTTATTGTAGCAACAACCGAAAATCACTTATAAACTATAATAAAACAACAACTTGCTCAGACGTCGGTAGTCAATATGTCATATAAAGTTGCTACTTGCCATTTCCAGAATAACCAGAATTGGTGTAGTCGCCATCTAGCGCACCTTTTAGAATTTAATGTTCGAAAGTTTATGGGGATATAGTACAAGATGGCACTGGTGTCTGCAAATTATTGAACCCCAACCTAATGTATGGAAGTGTACCCCCCCGTCGGGAACTAAAAATAAAAAATAATTAAAATTAAATGCGATAAAATCCGTAAGAGTAGTTTTAATCAATGTGTAGTGTTCGCGTAAATATAAGAAATCATTAAGAGACATTAATTTTGACTGCATTATTGAAAATCAAATAATAATAAATCTAAACAACGACAGCTAAATTAGTTGTACTGAAAGTGATTGAATAAATTTTTCTAATCCGGTTTTAATCTTAAATTTTTATAACTGTGCCCCCAGAAATAAGCAGTAACAACAAATACGTAGAAACTGATAAATCTATTTGGGTTTTAAATTTATTTTGGAATTATTCAAACCAAACTGTAAATGATTACCAACTCTAGATAATTGATATCGATTTTTTTATGAATCGAATATTGTACGTTCCCATTTTTTGGTTGGCATGCCTGTTGCAATAAGTCTGACAGCTGTCAAAATGTATTTCTTAGATTTTTGGTTAACCTATTTTTGCGATATTTTTTTCACGCTTTTGTCTTTTTTTTTTTATAGTAATATTTCATTATTAGGATCCTGTTTACCTTTAATATGCATTCGATCTCGATTTTTCATACATCGAAGAAGGCCTGGTGTAATACATGATTTTATATAGCGCATTTTTGTAGGCGTTATATTACTAAGTGTGTTTTTGAGTATAATATTTTGAATTAAGTAAATTGGTTTCTCAGTATAGTTATTCACATCTTTTGATGTTATTGTTACGAGCTTAGGGTTCATGACAATAAAAACTGCCGAATGAATTACCAAACTTGACACTTTAATTTCCGAACACCAATTAAAACTTAAAACACACTAATAATTGATCACACTTAACACTTTTGTTCACTTTATTTCGCTACAGTGACTTTATATAGAACCATTTCCACCGAAAACATCTTGAATGTTCGAGTAGAATGTTGAAAGTTCTAGCAAAGAATCCTCCAGAAAGCCCTCGGCACTCGCCACACTAGATGGCGCTAGTGGGGAAAGTTTTAGAAAGATCCGACAGTCCTATTTCTGCTACAATTTGCAAATTATTTTTTTTTCCATTAAAATTATTTTTTTTAAACGTTTTTTTGAAAAAAGAAATATTTCTATGCGCTTGGATACTGATTCTGATAACGCAGTTAACGGGAACCACAGGGTTTTTGTTTCATGTTGTATAAGTAATTGTTCAGGTCTCCTGGTTCATTAGTTTTTAATTTTTTATGTAAATTGATATGGCTGAACTTATTTCTATTTTTGTACCATTCTTTGAAACAAATTAATAATTAATAAATAATAAGCATTTCAAGTCTAGGTTGGCATCTTAATGTGCATGCACAACTATTCGCGTAGCCGGACTAAAACAAACTGATCAGTCTGTGCTCTGTCTAGTGTATTGCGAAGACAGACATGCCGGGACAAACAGCCCGTGGGCATGTCCGTCTAGTGAGTTTCCCACTTTCTTGTTGCCTACTTGGTGATTGAGTCCGAAACCAGGAAGTGTTTTTTAATAAATTTTTTTAATATTTTTATTTATTAATAATAAGTTGATGATTTTTTGGGGTCCAGACGATGGTCAATATCCTGGCAGCTTTTTTACCACCTGAAAAAAAAATGGTGTAACAGGTTTTTTTTAATGCTAGACTTCATTTTTTATAACTTATGCCGGTCACGCTCTTGTTACATACTGTATATACCTCCTATGTAGGTGAAGGAAACACCACCAGAGTAAGCCACCTAGTAATGCAATCACCAATCTGCCTGCTGAGCTGAGAGTGACTACATACTCAAGTACAGTAAGTGACCAGTGAGGTATGGTAAACAACTACCCAAGTGGTTCTATATATTTACTACTGTTACTGTTTTGCCCCATTAAATAAATGTTAAGACTCATGTTTCAAGACTACTATTATTACTTTCAAAAACTTTATATCATAATAACCAGCTTCATGTCATGCTAGTAGGAGAAAAATATATTACTGAAAGTACCAGGGAAAAATTCCATTAAGATTGATTATAAGCAATACCGTTTGTCTAAATCACATCATACATAGCAGTGTCAATCAACTTTCGAAAGGAAAAGGGAATCACACTGGCAGAATGGATAAAATTTTCATAAACCTGAAATGGTTCATTTCTCATTGCACAAAAACTATTAGACCTACACACTTGTAATTGAAATTTGAAAATTGAAAAGCCTTCTTTATTTCCTAGAATCTCACTTCATGAATAAATTTATTAGTTTCTGAGTTATTAAGGTCTGAAACGTGCCATTTTTATCACTCATCAAGAAACTAACAAACTTGAAATTTTGCACCAAGATTATAGATCATTTAGTGAATAAAAAGAAATAATATTTGAAAATACAAATTACTGGCATTTGGTAGCGACAACGTTGTTGTTGGGGTTAGTCTCAATATGTAATTAAATTTTTTTAATATAAAAACATAAGTAACAAACAAACGGATACATTGTCACATCTAATGACTACGATGGAATGTAATTATTCTAGCTCTCTATACCCTCTGACTGGTTTGGAGGAATTTGGCGGCAGAAATTAAGAAACGGATAAACACCTACCGAGACAGACGCTTGGGCATAAAGGAGTTCAACGACCTAGTAAAATATTAGCTGTAATTATAACATTCAAAAAAATTAACGGTATCTCAAAATATGAATGTGAAAAGGCGGCCAAGTTCGGTAAAAGTGGCTTAAAGGGTTGTCGTTGTCGTAATAAGAGTTAAGGTACGGGTGGGTGCCAAATTAAATGAGAGTTCTTGGCTATAAGAATGTAAAATGTTTTTCAATTAATTTAAAAGAAATTCGTTACATTCTTTTATATTCAATCACTATTTAAACCTATATTGTTTCTACTCCAGTCATCAAGTACTATACATTTTCACATCAATATAATGTAGTCGAAGTCAATTAAATATGTATTATTAAAATCAGTTCACCTAGAAAAGTTCTGAGATAACACATAAAATATACAATCGCATTGAAAACCTCCTCCTTTTTTGAAGTCGGTTAAAAATCAGCAAATCTGCTGAAGTTGGTAAAAAAATGTAACTATTAAAAATGCTGCTTGCTGGCTATTACGCTTTTTTGTTAATACAGTATGTTCTGTCCACAGGTATTACTGGGGCTGCAGTAATGTCACTGGCAAGTATTCCACTTCGTAACATCATAGGTTTTTTGTACATAAGTGATGATAATAAACTGATCAAAATTTCTTCAGTAGATTTCTGGGGAAAGAGAAAGGACAAAATAATCGATGCTAATGATTGGATACCATTACTAGAAATGTCTCCAAAAATAAGAGATGCTATTTATCTTACTCCAAAACTGTCTGATGGTACAGAATATAAACTTATTATTAAATTCGGTAAAGTTCTAAATGCCCAAAAAATAGGTCAAGTTTTAGAATAAAATGTGGCATAAAATTTAAAAGAATGTGAAGACTAGTGTAGTACACTAACAAGGTGGGTGATGCATCTTATACCTTATGGGTAACAATGACCATGACCAACAAAATGCAGATGGCATTTTGTTTCCAAATTGAGAATAGATGTCAATGTGTCAAAGCATCCACATCAGGTAAACTGTGTGCTCGTTTGTTACCCTATAAAATAATTATATTGGGTTTAAAATGGCTTTTAAGAAAACATACATAATATATTACTCATGTCATTCTATTTCTTAAATATTACAGTATTGTTGTGAACCAATTTTAAATAAATTTTGATTAAATACAATGAAAATCACATATGTGTTTTATTTGTGTTGAATACTTAAGGTGTACTGCTACCATATTAAATGGTCGCTTTCAAAATTATTTTTACTTATCAATAATTATTATCCATCTGTATATACAAATTTATTACAAAATTACACCTATACATAAGGCCTAAGTGGCCTTAATTTGTGTATCTCAGTCAGCCAAAGTAAATTAATAAGCAATCGACATAGATATTTAAAGATTTAATTTACAATCGCAAAATTTTTTGTCACAAGGCTAGGCTCCCATTGCCTTTCTACATAATAAAAAGAATAATCTCATTTATTTTCACAAAAATATGTCTAGATTTCAGTGTGTGAAGTGATAGTTTTATATTAAAATAGTGAGTAATGGCCCTTTGAAATTAGCAACAAGATATTTATTATATAGCTTATTAATTCTAAAAACACATTATTGGAGATAATGGGCTGCCAGCAGCTAAATAAGATGAGCACAGAGTAGGACGGGAAAAAGAGACTTAATGAATGGGAACCTAAGAGAACTTTCAAAAAAATTTTACAAATTTGTAACCTACTTATTATACCAAATTATCTCTGCAAGTAAGTGCATAAAGATTTCAAAAGAGATTACAAAATTTTTCTACTTGCCCTAGCATATATACTACATTATTTCAGAGTAAAATACACGTGAAATTTAAACCAACTTTGAAGAATGAGAATTACATAATGAAGTTAATCTAAAATAATCAAATACCAAGTAAAATTGAGATGAATTTGCACATAATTCTCCACAATACTGTTTATATGGCCAAAGCTAAGAAAGAAACCGTAAACTGCTAAACAGTCAACATGTTTCCTTCATTTAAACTAATTTATAGTGTGTAATAATATGTGAGTTTTATTACACATCGCTTGGGTAATCAAACTAGATTCAAGCTATCTCTAGAAACATTCTAGCTACCCCATGACTATTTGAATAGACATTTAATCAACCCAAGCTTGAGCTGGCTGATCAGTTGTGAAGGGACTAACGCCATTCCGCTCCATTGAATCAAGTACTTCGCATACATAGGCAGCTACATCTGCACGACTTTGGTCAATGCCTTTGATGAATGGATGTTCCAGTAACCTGTTATACTTCGGCCGTTGATTTTCTTCTTTTATCAGACTGTAAGGTTACAATAATTGTTATTATTCTGCAATGTCTTAGCTAACCCCCTGTCCATTTCTACCACATTTGGATGCGAGTATATTACCACATACATTTCATAGACACATTTAAAAAAAAGGTTTATTTATCACTGGGTTTTTTTCACTTTGAAGACGAATCTGATGTTGATTTCTTTACAAAATAAAGTAGCATCAATTCCAAATGGTATACCACCAAATGTTTGTCAGAATTGTTCAATGCTGTGAGCAACTAGCGACCGAACATGAGGCTTCACGGGCTACTGTATTACCATGATAACACGCTCGCACACTCAGCGATTAAAACATGTTGCTTCTTCTTAAACAGCACATTGGCTAAACTTTTGGGTTCTATCAGCTTTAATTTAGTACCGCGTAATAGTAATCTAGAAGAAATACAGTTTTATCGCCGGAGGTGGTGCTAGCAGCACCCACATAGAAAAGTTGTCTGATGCTAAGTGACCCATGTATGTACATTCCGTATAATTTATCGTATACCTATCTCGGAGCCTTTTTGTTCTAATAAGGTTTTTATTACTTTTCGTAAATTTATTATAGGAAACGGCCTCTGGAATTTAATTAAATTATGGCATACTTTACAAAATATTACTTACCAAGTATTGACAAAATGGACAAAGTTATTAGAAAACGCGTTGTTTTTGTTTGTAAGACGCGGCGGATCGCCCTGCACAACTTGTTGCAATTGTTCGAATACCGAACCCCAACGAGGATATGGAAATGCACCCGTTGCCACTTCCATTAATGTAATCCCAAGAGACCAAACATCTGAACGTACATCGTAACCTCTTGCGCGACCTGGGTCAATTCGTTCCGGCTGAAAGTGTTAAGAAAAGTAATTTTAAATTAATAAAATCAAATATTAATATTAAAAAAAACGAATTGGTAATTACAAAATACAAATATACTAGGTTAATAAAATAAAAAAAATTACTTAATTACTTAAAGAATTTTATTTATATGAACTTTGTAATTTCCGAAAATACAAAAAACGATTTTAATTAAAACAATAAGGAGAGCCTATATAGCCACGATAGTGTACACACACACACACACCTCCAGACCGAATTTCGGCCAAGGCGGCCTGCCTCAACGGAGGCTAGCCAACGGCGCAGGGCAGGCTTATAATGCCCAAGTGTATGCGCAAGCACAGGTGCACTCTTTATTCCCTCTCTCTCATAATCCGATGGGACGGTAAACCGACGCGACCGAAGAGAGATCAGGCGCAGGACCAACGGCTTTACGTGCTTTCCGAGTCACGGGGGTGAGACACTGCCAACTTCCTGACTCCGGGCAGCTACTGAGAATTTTTTGACAGAAAAACTCAATAATTGATTTTTTGGCCCGACCCGGGATTTGAACCCAGGACCTCGTGGTCAGTCGCACTACTACAACCACTAGACCAACGAGGCAGGCACCATAGTGTAGTGGTGGTGTAAGAATATCTACTATCTCATATTGTTCCGTAGGCCTCGTAAGAGTTGACAAAGGGACACAAATCAGGAGATGGGCAGCAGCATCTTCCTAGAAACAACTAGAAAAAATACTGTGGCGGCCAACCTGCCTAACAAGCGTGGCAAAAATGCCCCTATGAGCAACGACGTAAAGAAACAGCTCCTAATACTAAGTCCCATTATTCCCGGCTAGACAAAATTTCGAATTAAAATTCATACTTATATTATACACTCTTTGGGAATTTGAGACAAATCGATCAAAATAAAGATATTGCCGTAATTTGTCAGATTTTTTCTTTGTGTGCATTATGTGAATGCCTATTTTTTGACATTACACAGCGAAAAATCTCCCTTAGGATGATAAATTTTTTTGATTTGAAAACCGCTGTATACATAAAAGCCAATGAGTAGCAGTTCAATAATGTTATATTTGAAACTGGTTTGATTTAAATTTTGATCTTCATCATCATCATAATCATCACAGCCCTTCACAAGTCCACTGCTGAACATAGGCCTCCCCCAAGTAATGCCACAAAGCACGATCCTGAGCCACCTGCATCCATCGACTTCCTGCATATCTTACCAGGTCGTCACTCCATCTAGTGGGAGGTCACCCTACACTACGCCTACCGGTACGAGGCTGCCACTCGAGAACCTTTCTTCCCCATCGGTTATGGGTTTTTCGAGCTATATGGCCGGCCCATTGCCACTTCAGCTTACTAATCCGTTGGGCTATGTCGGTCACTCTGGTTTTACTGCGGATATCCTCATTTCTGAGTCTATCACGCAGAGAAACTCCGAGCATAGCCCTCTCCATAGCTTGCTGAGCGACCTTGAGCGTCCTCATACGGCCAGCAGTGAAGGACCACGTCTCAGATCCGTAAGTCATCACTGGCAACACGCACTGGTTGTACAATCTAGTTTTCAGAGATTGAGGTATACCTGACGAGAAGATATGTCGTAATTTCCTGAACGCTGCCCAGCCGAGTTGAATCTGTCGATTGACCTCTCGGTCGAAGTTGGACTTACCTAGTCTAGTAGAGTACTCGTCAACAACTTCGAGCATAGTGCTCCCACTCCCACACAACTACCGGCATAGGTGTGACATGGACATTAAACATGATCTTTGTTTTGTCCATGTTCATCTTAAGACCTATCTGTTGGGAGGCACTATTGAGGTCATTGAGCATAGTGCTTAAGTCCTCCAGAGATTCTGCCGTAAGGACTATATCGTCGGCAAATCGAAGGTGAGTGGTGTACTCGCCATTGATGTTAATACCATATCCTTTCCAATCCAGTAGCTTGAAAACGTCTTCCAATGCAGCGGTGAAGAGTTTCGGGGATATAACGTCTCTGCAGTTGGATAGGTTTCGAGCTCTGGTTCTGTACTCGGATAGCCATCGTAGCCCTACTGTACAAACACTTCAGCACTTCGATACACCGACAGTCACTTGGCACCGGTGAAGGGACTGTAGCACCCAATTTCGACAGAATCAAAGGCTTACTCATAGTCCACATATGCCAGGCAAAATGGCAGATTATACTCTTCGGTCTTCTGTACAATCTGCCTCAGGGTATGTATGTGGTCTATGGCACTGAAGCCTTTTCGGAAACCGGCTTGTTCGGGAGGATGGAAGTTGTCGAGTCTGCGTGCGAGACGATTCGTAATGACTCTCGAAAACAGCACGCAGACGCGGCTCTGAAGGGAAATCGGTCTGTAGTTCTTCAAGAGAGCGTTGTCGCCTTTCTTAAAGAACAAGACCACCGCACTTCTGCTCCACGCCTCTGGAGTAGTGCCACCATGGAGGACGGAATTGAAGAGCTTCTGAAGGACTTAAGTACCGGTGTTCCACCCGCTTTCAGAAGCTCCGCTGTAATTCCATCCTCGCCTGGGGCCCTGCCGTTTTTAAGGTGCTGGAGAGCCATTCTAATCTCGCTTAGACTGACGTCCATGGTATCATCGGAATAGTGTCGGATAAGACTTGCTCTTGGATCGTTACTCACACTTGCGTGTGGCTCTAACGATGATGT